TTTCATTGCGATTCAGATTAGCATCACTATGACTATGCTATATCCTAGCCTGCTCAAATGTCCAGCTCATCTGCTCAGCTAACAAACTGTTCGATACATCATTATGTGATTTGCCTCAGTTGTTTGGCTGTTATTTTCAGCAGGCTTTGCTTAACTCTCGCTCAGTGCAAAATTCGATGCGTCAAGGGCTTATCAACGGCTGCCTGTAGGTACCAGCCTATCGCCACAATAACGAACCTCAATGACCACAGCGCGACCCATATGAATGGGTTCAAGCCCACCTTAGCACCCGCCTGGCTCCCCCAGCTCCGCCTCAGCCGCATTTGCAGTCGCAGTCACAGTCATATGAATGAGTGCAGAGTCGAGCTATGGGGCAATCAAGTGAGAAAATTAAAATTACATGCCGTGCTTCGGAATGCCATGGATGCTGCCAAGACAGTGGAGCTGTGACTGTGGCTACGGCTGTGGAGGCGCTGCTGCAGTGGCCACATTTAAAGGTTCATAACTTCCAAGTCAATTACGCGGCGCATACGCAAAATCCCATATACGTTTGGCCTGTTGCTCTGTTGCTTGCTGACTGACTGAATTAGAAGCAAGCTGAATTGATCGTATTATGAATGGGAAACTGCTAAATACCCTGTTAAATGGGCCACCAGAAATAACTCCTCAACATGGATTGCTCTTTAATGCTACCTCAGTCAATTCCCACCAGGTTGAAGCTGGCCTAATACCTAAATTGAAAGCTGTATACTAGGGCATACCCTGTAGAGGCAGTACAGTCTTGCTATTTTATAGTCTAGCAATCCATACTCTATACTTTAGCTATTCAAATGTGTATAAATGCACTCTGATAATTGATAATTGTAAGAGCCTAACAACTCCACATTCACGGATCTATATACACCCATAATCTGTGTTAACAATATGCCCTACGCACTCATATATTATAGCAGGGTATACAAATTACACGCTCAGGCGTAAGAGGCTCGCGGTATCTGAATTCCGAGTCCTGGTTCAGCCTCCACACAGTCGGGCTGTCTGTCATAACTCACGAGCGAGCTGCCTCCGTAGCGAGAAGAACCGCTGCGCAGGCGCAGGTGAACTAGTAGACAAGAAGCTGAATCTGCAATGCAGAAGCTGAAGGAGCAGAAGCAGCAGCAGCCCAAGTGGGAGCTGCAACAACTACTGTGGGAACCATACCGATCTGCAGCTCCAGCGAATTAATTTGTGACGCGCGCTGCTGCCTCACTGCAGTCCGATTCTGAGTGCTCGTTCCACACTGTGGCAGCCGCCAGGCAATTTACTCGCACGCAGTGCGCAGTGCGCAGTGCCCAGCCAATGCCAGAGCGACCTCAACTGCAGCAGACAACATCCGAGAGCCCAGATGCGCGCATCTTCTACCTTGGTCTTGCTGCAGCTCGTGACTGCAACGTCGTGTGGCAAGTGGCTGCTGCTGCTGCTGCCTCTTTGTGGAGGCAGCTCTTGGCGGCTTTGGCGCTGGTGTCAAACGCTTTGTAATCTGTCACGTCGCATCGTTTTAATATTTTCTGCGCTCATGGGCCACGGCTGTACGAGGAAATGCAGACTCTTACCTGTAAAAATAGGCGTTACCCTTTGGTATTTATGATCGTTTGCCAGGCACTGCCCCCATCTCTGTCCCCCAACCAGCCTGCCCCCTCTTGAATGCATCTTAGCCGCGTTTTGTTTGGTTTGTCAGCAGCCGCAAGGCAGATTTTGGTCTGCAACCGCACGTTCAGCTTCATGGCGCTGTCTCGGTCGCTTTTTGGGTAGCCTCTTTTTATTATCTAAATCATTATTAGTTTGACCTTCAGCCCGAGGTATTCGGGGCGGCTTGTAAACTTGTTCGACGTGGTTTCCTTATCTTATTAATTATGCGCCTCCCGCAACATGCGACTACCGTGCGTGTGTGAGTCACTCGAAAGAGCTAAGAACTCTATGAATGCATTTCACTGGGCGAAACAGAAGGTTGATGTACTGTTAAAACAAGTTGGCTTAGACAGAGAAGAGCACAGTTAATATTACTGCTTGGGAAAATCAAGTCAATGAGAAGAGTATGTTAAGCTCTCAGCTTTAACTAAACGATGAAGCCTGTAAGCGTTCATTAGAATAAATTAACCTAAGGCTCCACAACGATCGTAGGCCTATCCCAATGTAATGTGCATTGCTGAATAGTTTTTTATCCTCAATTTATCCTATAAAAACAAAATTAACAACTTTACTTATATTCATTTATATATATTTTATTATTTATTTATTTAATGCATAAATATGCTATAAAATTATAGATTTAAAACGGGCCATGAAACATCTTTAGTTGGGAGGTCTTTTTGATTGATATAAGGTAATTTGGGGTTTTTCTTGTAAAACCATTGAGTTCTTTAAAAATTAGTATTTAATCCCAAATATCTCAAACTTGTTGTCCATTCGATGCGTATGAAATGAATCAATTAATTTAATATAAGCATAATTTTTAAATACATTATTCGATTCATTTTTATCGATTTGTATATCAACAGCTTTTGACCTATCCATATATATATATATATATATATATATATATATATATATATATGTATATTTATATATATATATATATATATATATATATATAGCTCATACAGTTCCTTTTGTTTATGTAGATATAAATATGTATACATTTTTGCAAGTACCTACTTATTAAAAGCTTAACATTTACAGCAAATGTTGAGATTACTGAGACTCACTGTGCACGCTGATGATTAGCATTTACCGTTGCAGTAATTAATGCTAATTGCTATGGTTAACATTCTGTTAACCCACGTCAACGCTCCAATTACTGACAGCTTAAGTTGCACATTTTCAAGATCTGCGGTGCACTGACCCACTAACTGACTGCAGCTACTGACACGTAACGGGGACAGTGACTCATCAAAGGAGCATTCCCACAAGGCGTAAAACTAAAAACATATAATAAAACACAAATTCTGCATGCCTATTAGCGGGCGATTCGTTAACCCTACTCAAGTGCACATAAGCAGGCAGTCAGCAGGCATTTAACATGCGCCTAACATGACAACAGCAACAATAGTGCCAAGAGACGGAACCGGTACAGTGGTAGTTAAGCATTACAGTGCCTGACAACCGTTAATCAGGCGCCACAAATCAGACAGCGACAGCAGCAACAGTTAATTGTTTAACGCGCAGCGCGCACAACGATTAACAGCCCCTCCCAGCGCCCCACTGCTGTATGCTTCGCTTTCTGATTGGTTACACTGCGCGCCCGTATGAAGCACTGGGTGTGTGAGAGAGAGAGAGACAGAGAGACAACGTTTCAACTGATGGCATCTATTTTTAGTTGCGATCGTCGTCGTTCCGCAAAAATGGCGCCACAGTGCCAAACGCCTTGGGGCTATCAAAAAACTGTCTGGTAACTCTGTCTAGGCGGCGCGACGCAACGCGAAACTCAATAATATTGACACCATTGAAACGCCTCAGACCTTAAAGTCAACAAAAGGAACAATCGGGGGCTTTGGAGGTTGGGGGGACATTATTGTTGGCTTTGTGCTTTGGCATGGGCATGAAAATTGTAAAGCAAAATACAAATTCCACTACGATCGATAAATGCCAAATATCACCTGGGCCCAATCAGAGGCTATTATAGAACAGGATGTGATGCGTGGGTGGGTGAGTGTTAATTGCTGCCAGAGAGCTAATCAGCTGGCATGGAATATTTATGAGAGTTGAGCAACAAACAAATATCGTATCGTAAATATCAATAATGTGCTAATTGAAGCAATTGGCAACAAGCAGTGAACCAACAACAATTACAACTGTGATTGAGCCAATTTAACAGTCTGGCATGTGTTTAGACCAGGTTAAATAATAGTAATTGGTAATTAGATGGCCGTTGCTAGGTAGTCTCAGAAGTTGCGGAGCAACTAACAACTTTTAAGAATTCTTCTATAATTTTCAGAGCTTGATTTAAGTACAAGATATATTACATATAAGCAAGATCAGAGAAAAATTTACAATATATTTATATATATAAATAAATATATATATATATATATATATATATTTATATATTTTTTTATTCATCTTGTTATATCATATATCTGTATTTCTATTGGTTGAAATGATGTTTAGCCTTTCATTAATTTCTAAGTTAATCAACAAATTCTACTTTATGTTTATAAACTAAAAAACATGTTTTTTATTTTTGTTATGTACTTTGGTTATATCAATTTGCAATTGGAAGCACATATATTATTTGAATTATCAATTGCTGCATTTCAAGTTCTGGGAACTGAAGTCGGAAACGTATCAACAGACTTTTTCGCATGATTGCCAACAGTTGAAAAGTTTCCCTAGTTTATAGTAAGTCGATATCTAAGAATAGTTCGATTCTAAACATTTTTTCCAGATATCTGCAAATAATCTATTTTAGCTTATATAAATGTTCATCAGAATGTGTTGGGTGTGGGCTTGAAAACTTTAAATTCAATTATGAATTATGTATTTATTTTTTAGCATTTTTTTTAAGAATTAATTTTAGTCTTCTAAGTTATTCTATTTTTTAATAATAGAAAATATTATACAGGAGCAGACGACATCGCAACAATAAAATATTGCTTCATTAATCAACTGAAGAATATTAAAATTTTTATCGCACAAAGCTTTTTGCATAATTTTCAAGTAGTTCATTGAAAAGTGTTTGAATAAACCAGGAAATAAATCTCTTGCAGATGGCGTTTTTAGTGCGATTTGTTTTAGTTCTGTTATTTATAACTAGAGGAAAGAGCTCTACAGAGGATTTATTGCCTGGTCTAATTGATGAGCTGAACACACAAATTGGAATTAAAACAAACATTGTCTACAATCCTCATCGGAGCAGCTTAAACTATTCCCGCCACCTGAAGCCTGTGACTCAGATAATAGTAAACTCCATAAATGATCCCTTTTTCAATGCCACGGAACTTGTTAGCTTTTTGGGTGACCGAATGCTCTTTGTGCTGCATGTGAAGACGCCTCCAATCGACTTCTTCGAGCAGCTCCATTTGCAGTTTCAGATATCGGACTTTTTGCTGGTACTAGATGAAGGCCCAGGCACAGATATTTGGTTGGAGTTTTCGCGTCAGGCATTCCAGCTGGGCTACATGAGGCTGCTTTTCCTGCATAGATCAGAAAACGCAGCGCTCTACGGAATGCGTTTGTTTCCGCAACTCGAGATCGAGCGCGCTGATGTGAATACGTACGTTGAACGCCGTAATCGCTTGACAAATATGAAAGGCTTTGCGATACGCGTCGCGGTCTACTCGAACCCACCCCGCTGCCTCCTCTACAAGAATAGTGAGGGCAAGCAGAAGTATGGTGGTTATTACTTGCGCTTCTTACAACATTTTGTGGCTGTCCACAATGCCAGCTTTGTTCCTGTTTACACTCCCAACGATTCGCCCGGACATTGCATTAGGGCGTTGCTCTCGAAGCAAGTGGACCTGTGCGGCGACTCACTGGCTCAGGGATCGGACAAGAGTTTCGTTGTGACCAGGGCGATACGAATGGCATATGCCAATGTCATGGTACCCTATGCCAAGCAGCTGAGTTCCTATCGTTATATTGTGGCTCCATTCCACCCGACGGTCTGGATCTGCCTGATCGTCTATATAACTCTCATTGTCTTCTTCATGAGCTTCATCCACTGGCAGCAGCGGAGACGCTGGATCTTTAGCACCTTCCTGCTGGACGCCATCAGCTCGTTGCTTTTTACGGGCTTTTCGCTAAAGCATCTGCATGGACGAGAGCGCTATATACTCTTTGCCGTGCTCTTCATAGCTGGCTTCATCTACTCCACATTCTATTTGGGATATCTGAAGAGCATATTGACCACGGAGGTATTCGAGAAGCAGATCAACAGCTTTCAGCAGCTGCTAGAGTCCAACATCAGCATCATGATAGATGAATATGATCGCAACTTGTCAAGGAGATACCATCTGCCGGATATGCTGTGGCCAATCATACAGGTGGTGCCTGATGAGATGCTGAAGAAGCATCGCAGCGGCTTTGACCAGGAGTACGCCTACATTCTCTTCAGCGATCGCATGGAGCTGTATGACTATGCACAGAAATATCTGAGGCATCCGCGCCTGCGTCGCATGCCCATCAACATATTCTTTCTGTTCTCCGGCTTCCCGATGCGCGAGAGCTACTTCTTGAGGCAGTCGCTAAGTGAGGCCTGGGCCAATGCCTTTGAGAGCGGATTCCTGAAGAAGCTGGCAGTGGATGCCGACCACGAGACGATGACAGCAAACGTGGGCTTCAGATTCCTCGTCACTGACCAGTACGAGGCGCAATCGCTGAGTCTCGATTATTTCGTTATGCCGGCCATGTCGCTGGCCTTCGGTTACGGCTTGGCTCTGCTCGTCTTTGCCATCGAGTTGACGGCCTGGCGCAGGCACAGGCAGCGTGCCCACAACTTGGCGTTGATGGATTGATGTAGTGTAGTAGTTGCATGTTCCTTAACACTTTCTAGTATCTGCATGCGTGCTTGTAGTTCTGTTTTGCAAATAAAGCAACAATCTAGTTACACTGAGAACAATTATCAAACTCCACAGCTGCTCTAACGAGATTGAGCAGCTGCGAAGCGCTTTTCTAGATACTTTCTAAGCGAACGCCACTTTATTGTACACATTATCTAACGCTGTATGTTTGCTAAAGGCATGGAACTTAGCATCCTGAACATCCTGCCCTATCCTTCTTAATTCACATCTTTCTTGCACTAAGATAAACTATCTGATATGCAAACTTCCTGTAACATTACTCACATAACATATCCTTCACACTGTTCATAAACACTGTTCAGATGAACACCTTATATTCTGTAGCAGTAAACAAATTGTTTTTCCTGTGATAGCCTTTCCTATTCTATCCTCTCTAATTCTATCCTCTTCTGTGCTATCCTAACATACCATGTCCCGTGCCATTCTGACTTTTCCTATGCTATCAAGATCACTTATTCCTTCTCACTTTATTTCAATTATTCTAGAAGCTTACAAAACTAAAACACGAATTTTACACCATTTGCTTCTACAGCTTACTTCACAGCTCGCCAATGCAATCGTAGACCAGTTTCAGTAGTGCCCACCAATCTTAAACATGTCCAAGCTTCTTCTTCTGCTCTGTCTGTTCACTTACGTTGACTCAAGCACCTACGATCTCAGCTCGAGCATAGCTGCACTCAATAGGGGTCTGCAGAGTAAAACAAATGTTGTCTACACGGAAGCCGCACAGCCCTTAGATATCTATGAGCAAATCAGTGAAACCCTAAGCCAAGTTCCTAGCGTATTATTGAAGAGAACTGATAATGCTAGGCTGATGAGCAGCAACCACCTTGATCTGCCCAAGCCCCTTTTGATGATACTGCCAGAGCCTAGGCATGGCCATGCCCAAGCCATGTTCGAGCAGTTTCCCACCGAAATGCAGCAATCCGACTTTCTTTTCGTGGGCTGCAACTCAGCAGCAAACTGGCAGCAATTGCTTTCAACCCTCTGGCAAGAGGGCTACCCGAATGTGCTGATATTCAATAGCACTGATGGAACAGGGCTTAGGGGTCAGTTTTATAGCAGCAATTTGTATCCACAGCAGGAGCTGCACCGCTGTAGCATTGATCAGTATTTGTGGAGTCGTCAGCACTGGTTCGACAATCTCGAGGGCTGGGAGGTACGTGTGGCTCTCTACAATAATCCGCCACGCACCTTGGTCTATCCGGAACAGGAACTGTACGACGGTTATTCACTTATGCTGCTGCGAGAGTTCCTGGCCCATCGTGGGGCCAAGTTTGTGCCCGTGTTAACGCCCAACTACCAAGTTTATTCGGCCAACGATTGTCTCAAGTTCTTGCATAGCAATATGTCCGACATTTGTGGCGATCTGCTGGCCTACACCAACGAAGTGAGCTTCACAGCCAGCTATATGTACTTGTATGGCAATATTCTAATACCCAACGCCAAGCCCAGGTCCAAGAACTACTATATTATAGCGCCCATGCAGCTAAAGACATGGCTTTTCATGCTCCTCTACATAGCTGTCATCTGCAGTTTTGTCAGCTGCATCTGCTGGCTGCAGCTGGGGCGATGGGAATACAGCAAATTTCTGCTAGAGATCATTTCCAGTCTACTCTGCATGGGCTTTCGGCTATTTAATATTGGAGGCAGGCAGCACTTCATTTTGTATTCCAGCATTTTCCTAGTGGGCTTTGTGTGCTCCAACTATTACCTGGCCTTCCTCGCTACCATACTCTCGACAGGTGTTTACGATCGCCAGATAGACAGCTTTGACGAGCTGGTTGATCAGAACATTAGCATTGTCATCGGAGACTATGACAAGACGGTGCTAATGACCTATGACTATCCGGATATCTTGTGGAACATAACCCGCGTGGTGCCCTACGATTTCATACTGGCTCATCGGCGGGTCTTTGATGCTAACTACGCCTATTTGGCACACAGTGATCGCCTGGTACTCTTCAATTTTCAGCAACAGTATATGGCTAAGCCCCGCATGCGCCCCCTCCCCATAGACTTGATGCACTCGCTGCCGGGTTTCCCAATGCGTCGCCAATGGCTGCTGAAGTACAAGCTCAGCGAGACACTGCTCAACTGCTTTGGCAGTGGACTGATGAAAAAACTAGCCGATGACACCAATCGACAGACCATACACATTGGCTACTTGAATCTGATACCCTCGGAGCCATACGAGGCGAGGCCCCTGACATTGGACTACTTCAATGTGCCGTTAATCATGCTCATATCGGGTCTAATCATTGCACTTGTCTGCCTAATGGTCGAGCTACTCTGGCGGCTAGTACAAGGGCCTAATCGCGAGAGGAACTGAGATAGTTGTGAAATGTTAAGGTAAGTCTTATTAAGTATTGGGATATAAAATTAACATTTCGTAGTTGTTTTTTTTAAATATATAGAGATAATTAATGCGAGTTCTTAATATGTCTCAATTTTAGATTGATTTAAATCTAAAACTTAAGCTGCACGCATCACTTACATAGAAATAATGCAATGTTCTTTGGAGATTAAAGAAAATTTCAGAACTAATTTGATACCTCTAGGAAATTTATAAATAGTTTAGCTAGTTTAATGTTAAATGTTAAGTGCTCATTCTTGAAACTAATTTGCTCAAATAGAAACCTCCCATCCTAACAATTTGACATAATGCATCAGGCCTCAAAAATTCTTGATCAATAAGCATAAAAGTAAATCGACTGCAAGCCATTGGAAAGCCGCTTTACAAGTCCCAAATATAAACTACTGAAATCCATGAGAATCGCATCAAATTTATGCGAAACACCCTTTAAACGACGTGAAGAGCTCCTGGCTCAGCTCGAGCACTTTGACAAGCGACCAAAATAAATAGCACTTGAGATATATTTCCAAAACATTTGTCAGCTGCGACTCACCCTGCCGGCTGAGCGCCTGCAAGTATGCAACGCAAATGATAACACAAAAACATGCCAAGAGGGTGGTGCGAATCGACCCACCCACAGTCAGCCTCAAGCACAGCTGCTGACTTGCACAAATATTTGGCGAAAAGAAAAACGGAAGATAGAACAACATCAAAAATTACTTTAGATAGGGCAGCACCAGGGGGTTGTGTGGCTGTGTGGGCGTTGCCCGTTACAGTTTGCCAATAGGCGTGGCTCGACACATTTTGAAGTTCATTGACTTGCGCCACAGTTCTTGGCGCCGCGAAGTATGCAACCCAAATGTGGCGACAATAAAGTTTATGTGCGGCGCCAGCCGCAAAAAAAGGCAGTCAACAAATGCAGTTGTGTGTGTGTTGGTGTGGGTGTGTGTGTGTGGGAGATAATCACCAATTGCCTGGCGGTTGACGTGAAGTAAAAAATTATACGAATTATTTGTGCAGGAGCGTTAACTTTTTGACTGCACTGTCTGAGGCGGGCGACACAGATTTCAGGCATGCTGCATGCATGACTGGGTAACGCCCACCTAAAACCCAGGCCCCCAATGCAATAAAGCGAGACTCCGGGGTTCAAGTCACGTGCGTGCCTGGACTCAATATCGTTGCTGTCGACGCAACGAGAGATAAATAAAAATCCAAAAAAAAAAGAATTTATATATATATATATATCTCGCCCTTCAGCCGCTTAATTGCTGATTTCGTGTTTTCATCGCGACTTTAATCGATTTCGTGCGCAATTTAACTGCCCACGATTGTCACATGTGGCATGCCCCATGCCCGATGGCCAGTCAGTCGCAGACCGATTACAATCGACTTTAAAGTAAACATTTGTTTTTATTTTTCCAGCAGGGCGGCTTTTAATTAAGATTGTGTAGGGCGATAAGTGGCAAGTGTTGTGGCGAATCGATTCCGCAGAATGGGGCGGCTCAAATCTCAATATAAATTCCGGATTTTCTGCGCTCTTGATATACATATTTATTGAGGCTGTGGCATGCTGTACGTGTGTGCCCGTTTTATCAAACCAGATGCGCCCTTCACTTGCTCCATAGGGTTGCCATGTCTTCAACTCAGCTCACAGGCAATAATACCTAGCTTTATGTCAAAGCAAGATAATCACATCATATTTTATCTTAATATAGATAAAAACAATATTGTATTTATTATAATACATTACAAGAACATGCTTATTTATTATAAATTCTATTTTATAACCACAGCAGCTACAGGCAGCTGATTGATTAGCTGATTATGGGTCTCTCCTCCCAAATACACCCACATGTGGCTGCCATTGCTTCTCAGCTATCCTTTTTAACCTGTATAAGAAATATATAAATGAAATGAATGATAAACATTACCAAGAAGACGTGAATTAATATATTTCAAGTTTCCAAATAATCGAGCCTTCCAAATGTTCACATACATTAACTTATATTAAAGTGTGAATCTAATACAAATTTGAGAATATTTATTCACTTCTCCGACTGTGTGCACGGCTTAATAGACCAGTTGAGTCCAGAAGCTAACCCTCATTTCAAATTGCAAATTAAAAATTTCGAACTTCGTCAATTGTGACGCTTTAGGGCCTTAAAGTCAACCGACTGTAAGCGAAATGACAAATTTAAACGTCAACCCCATCAACCCCGCTGCTCTTGAATGGGTCTATATGACAATAGGGGGATTATCTGGTGCGCTCAGCTGTATGCGACGTCTGACCCTTTTATCGGGCAGACATGTGAGCCGTATATACGTGATGCACATATCACATGCCCCGGCTGGACACACACAGTGAGAACAATTGAAAGGCATGCCCCAAAGGCAATTGCCTGATTCCAATGCCACATAATTGACTGCATGCTTTGTTGGCTTGCTTTGATTTGCTCTGGCTTGGCTTCGGCTCCTCTTTTGCGGTCCAATCGAAACTCCCAGGCTAATTGCAGTTTTGGAAAAGGTCCCTTTGTGTGCTTAGGGTTTGTACAGCGTGTGCTTGGGCGCTATGTCCGGCAACCCGGTCCCGATCTGGGAATGCTCTTTAAATGCTATTATTTAAATCAATGCTGTGGCCTCGCCTTTAGCCATTGCCATCGCCATCGCCATCGCCATCGCCATCGCCGTCCACAGCCCAACATATATATGAGGTTGATATTTATGAGCCATGTCTAATTGTCGGCAGCGAACTTCAAAGTGGCCTCGTTACCTCTAATTCTCCCCTCCACTGCTCCATGGAATGCATTTATCGCACTCCAACTTATGCTAAGATAAACGACCATCGCACAGCCAGTGAAAATTGGCCACACTTTCCAGACGTTCAGCGCTTCGGTCATAAAGAAATAACCTGACAATTGGCAATTTTTGGTTGATTTTGCAATTTATGACCACAACAAGCAGCGGGAGCTGGCCAGGAGGCAGCGGCATGTGTCATTGGCGGCATGACCAAAAGACCCAGATATATATCGAGGTCTTATGCTTGTTGCTAATATCGTGCATTTAGGACTTCAGAAAGTGCTGGGAGTAAGGGGCCAGGAAGAGCAAACTTAACGCATCTCATAAAATAGTTCGAGTAATAATACAGAATTTATTATGCGCCTAAAAAGCATTTCTTTTGAAATTATATAATCATAAATAATATATTAATAAATCTTTACCTTTTCAGCTCGGAAATGCAGCGAATTCTGCTCTCAGCGGCTAACCCAATGTCTGCAGCAATACTATAAAAACTCCTCAAATATTTATGTATTTATATTGTTCAAGCACTTCTGTTGATTATAAACAAAATTTATAAGTTGTTTGTCTACACTATGACTGCACGTTATTTTATTAATCAGAATATAATAAATCATATTTTCGGTGTCTTGAAAGTCGATGCACGTCTGCCGTTTCCTATTAGTAATTGGATTAATGTCAAGAGTGACATATAAGAATATTCTGAAATGAATGTTTCGGGATGTGTTTTTAGCTTTTGGCCAAGCGGAAGAGTGACTTATGAGTAAACTGTGAAAATAAACGAGGGAACCAGCTGTGGGCATCTCTAAAAGCAAACTTCGAATACAATAACTTGAATGGAATGAGCTTGAATCCATGTTGAATCTGCTTCTAAGCTAGTTCGACCAGTGAGAGGTTTCTTTGCTCATTCGAAATATCATTGTCAATGAATTATTTTCACGCTCTTACTCAAAGCTCTATCTATATACCAGAGGCAGCCAGCAGTATCCCAGCTGCCTTAAACACTTTGTCAATTGGCAGCAGCGCTTTTTGCCAGCCCATTTACCTTATGGCAGACATCTTTGGGTCAGTCAAGTTGCTAAATTTAGCTGGCTACAGAAAACCCAACGAAATGCTACCCAATTAAGCGCAACAAACAACTTCACGCCACATGCCACATGCCACACGAGGCGCTTATCACTTCCATCCGATCAGATCCAACATCAACATCAAGTCGATTGCATTGCCGCCGGTGCCCGACTCAGCCTGCTGCCTGCTGCCTGCTGCTGCTCCCTGCGCCCTGCTCCATCTCTCTCGTTTTCTCTTGCCTTGCCCATTGAAATGGCCAACGATTTGTCGCTGTCGCAGGACCTGCGGCCACAACAGCAACAATTGGCGATCGTACCGCGATAAGATCGCAGCGCGATAAACGCGCCGAGAAACGGCGACAGCAGCCACATTTATGCTAATAAGTTGACATTTGACCACCGTGACGAAATAATGAAACGATCAGGAGCCCCTCGATGTGACAGGCCACAGTACGGAGCGCACATTGCATTCCAAAGGGAAATATAATTTGGCTTATTCCTGTTTCTGATTAGGTGTTAAAGACAGATATCCGAACTCAAAATGTTTAGAGTTAAAGAGCGTGAAGTTCTCTCTTACATAAGCAAAAGTGGAGCTGCGCTATAAAATTCTAGTCCAATATCGAGCTACTTTATGATAGCTGATTTTTATTGAACTTTATGCTTTTTTTGGTATGCCTAATTCGTTTACACAGAAAATATTGATAACCCGCACGCATGAACTCGCTATCTTAATACAGTTCCAATCTTTATCATTCACATCATTGCCCTAAGCTGATTGTATTTTAATTGTTGCATATATCAAAGCTATTATCTGCCAATCTAATCATAGGGCCCGCTATTTTTCCCAGCAATTTGATAAGATTTGGCTTTAAAGAAACCCTCTTTGGATACAGAACAAGTTCAAAACTGTGAGGAGAGAATGAAATTGGAGCAAATATTACCTTACCTATAGTCCTCATATATTTCGTGTAGCAACAACAGCAAAGAAATAGCATAAATGAAAAGATGGGGAGTGTGCGGCTAGTGAGTACCCGTCGATATAGGTCTGTGTAGCAATGAAAGGTTCAGAAACATAGCCAATAATATCTACTTGCCTTTTACCTACTTTTTGCTTATAAAATATTAAATTCTTCTTAGCCAAAATTCAATAGGAATAGCTTTATCGAATTTATAAATATTCATTACGTAACTCCAATGAATTGTTTTAAAATTATAACCTTTAATAAGCAGCAAAAAAATGGCGCTACCGACTGCCTAATACTTGTTCACAGTCCAAAAACATTTAAATCATTTTTGATAAGCCTCAAGAGGCAGTCGACAGTAACTTATCATAGATATACTGTACAAGATAAAGGCTTGAGCCCGAAAGGTGTTAAAACATGAGAAGATACAAGTTTTTCTGATAGGGTCTATATAGAGAAAATATATATTTTTTCAACGGAGTTGTCTACACGTATAAAAATAAAAGAACAACAATAAATATTGAGATCCGATTTGCCATTAGTCCCCTATTAGTCATGTCGATCTATATAGAAGCTGAACATTAAGCCACGAATCAATTTGGGTTCTGTCTGTGACAACCGATTTACCACGCTCGAATCCATTTTGGGTCTTTGGTCAATACATGTATGCATTCCAGTTATCTAGTATATAGCGCCCTTAATGAGAGTCCTTCTGATATATCAGATATTACCTAGGAAAATCTGAGTACTTTATAAGCCGAGGCTACCAACGATAGCTGAGAAGGGATTTGCGTTCCATCAACTAGAGAGACGGATAGTATAGACAGCATGACGGACACTGCACAAAACCAATATACTCTGCTGACTTTGCGAACAAGTATAAAGTAATAAAATTTGGATAGTCACCGAACTTAGCACAAGATAACGATTAGCAATGTGGCTTCAGATAGCAGAACGCAATACGTACATAAACGGGGCTAATAAATTAATGTATTTTAAATTGGTTATTTATTGGAGCACCGACTTTATGACACCGTTCCAGACTACTATAAAATGTTCAAGCGATTCCTCCGATCCATTTAATTTCACTTGGTAGCCCGTGGAACATACTTCTGCAGAAAAGTCAACCGATCAAACATGAGCGATAAGGATAAACTTGTAAAGACACACAAATATAATATGTATTATGAATTTTCACTAAATCCGTGGACGTAATTCGTAGATATTGGGGGAGGATGGCGAAGAATCAGCGAGGATAATGGTCAAACAGAATACTTATGTAAATCTGCCGTGGTACATCGGAACCGGGTTCCTTCTGTTCTGGGCCCTATTATTTTTCGCAGTGGTCATACCTTTGTTTTATCGCCTACCCACATCGCTGACCATCGAGGATGATAATACAGGAGAGTTCATTGGGGATCGCGCTTATGACGTCCTCAACAATCTGGTCAACATTGGAACCAGGGTGGCCGGCAGCAATGCCAACGAAATCGACGCAGTAGATTTTCTGCTAAACGAAGTATCTAACATTAGAAAGGATTTACTTGATGATTACTTTACCCTAGAAGTGGACGTACACACAACGTACGGTACACACATCTATTACTCCCTACTAGAGATGTACCAAGGAGTTCAGAATGTTGTGGTCAAACTGAGCCCCAAGGGGTCAACAAGTGAGTCGTACCTCCTGGTGAACAGCCACTACGATACAGTGACGAAGTCCCCGGGAGCGGGCGACGATGGTTTCATGGTGGCCACCATGCTGGAGGTGCTACGTGTGATGGCCACCACACCCCAAACCTTCGAACATCCAGTCGTCTTCCTGTTCAATGGAGACGAGGAAATGGGCATGCAAGCCTCCCATGGTTTCATTACCCAGCACAAATGGGCTCCGAACTGCAAGTATGCTTTGGTACTGTTTCAATTATGAAGGGAACTTCTATTTGAGAATTGCGTTTGCAGAGCTGTTGTCAATTTGGATTGTGCTGGAAGTGGCGGACGCGAGATCTTGTTCCAAACTGGTCCTTCGCATGCCTGGTTAGCCAATGTAAGATATCCAAAAGAAAACAGTTCCAAATTGACAATTTTAACGAGGTCTGAATTCGTAGTACTACAAGAAGAGTGCGAAGCATCCTTTCGCCACAACCATGGCTGAGGAATTCTTTCAAATGGGACTTATACCCTCCGATACGGACTATCGCATAATTACGCAATATGGAAAAATTCCAGGTAAAACTAGGCAAAGTTGGTTAATCTAATGATGCTCTACAGACATTATTACCGCGCAGGTTTTGATCTTGGCCAAGTTGTCAATGGCTTTATATATCACACGAAGTACGATCGCATTGATGTGGTTCCGCGAGGCGCAATTCAGAACACCGGCGATAATATCTTGGGTCTGGTGCGCGCCTTGGCTAATGCAACTGAATTGCACGATATAGAGGTTGGCTACTGAAAAATTAAATATTTTGAAAAGGCTTACTTAATGCTCCAACACAGGCACATAAAGGGGGCAACTCTGTCTACTATGACCTCTTGGGCCTCACTTTCATCACCTACTCGGAGGAAACTGGCAACATTTTGAACTACAGCGCAGCAGGAGTTACACTGCTTTTGGTTTTCATAAGTGTGTGGCGCATGTCCGCTGTGTCCAGGCTGCCCTTCAGCCAGGTTTCTCAGCGCTTTATCATTCTACTGGTTCTTCAGATTATAGCCTTTGTATTGGCCTTGGCACTGCCCTTATTGGTGGCATATATCCTCGACAGCTTTGGATTGTCGCTTACCTACTTCAGCTCTCCATCACTGTTGATTGGCTTGTACGTGTGCCCAGCCCTTATTGGACTCTGCCTTCCCATCACAATTTACTGTCAGTCACAGGAGAATGTGAGTACTTAAATTACATTTTGATTGAGCAGTCCATTCACCGTTATCTGCTCTAGAATAAATTACCGTTTACCTACCACCTTCAACTGGCTCTGCATAGCTGGGCCGTGGTACTGTGTCTCCTGGATGTAGTTGCCACAGCCAACGGCCTGCGCTCCATCTATATTGTCACAGTCCCGATTATCTTTTATGCCGTGTCCTTGGCGTTGAGTCTGCTGACTACGTCTCACGATCGAGGTTACAGCTGGAGTGGACTGGTCATTATTGGTCAGGTGATTCCCTTCCTGTACATCAGTTACCTCTTCTACATATTCATCGTGGTGCTGACACCAATGAATGGTCGTTCCGGCAGCGCCTCCAATCCGGATTCGACTATTGCTGCTTTGGCAGCTTTGGGCACGATTTTGTCGTTTGGATTTCTGGTGAGTTTGTTAGCAATTACTGACTCCTTAAAAGCTTATAACATGTCTCTTCAGTTGCCCTTGACCAACATGTTCCGACGATCCGGTTCGGCATTGCTTACCCTGTTTCTAATCACAGGCATTACGATTTTCCTAGCCTGTGGCACCCAGATGGGTTTCCCTTATCGCGCAAGGACGAATAGTGCGCGAGCTCTTTATCAGGTACTTCTTGGCATATTCTTTGATCTGAGTTACCAATCTTGAATATATTGTATTTTTAATATAGCATGTCCGCCGAGTCTTCTACGACTACGACGGCTCGGTTATCAACGACGAATCCGGGTATTTATTCAACTTCCAGGATAGACGTGAAACGAAAGCATTTCCCGGCGTAAATTTTACTGGTGCGATAAGCCAGAAAGCCAATTGCGATGATCACATGATGTGTGCGGCGCCCCTGTTTGATGAACGTTGGGTTCAAAACCGACTGCAAGGAATCTGGTTGCCCCGTGAGGAGCCCGTCGTGCCCCCAACAAGAACCACTCTGGAGCTGCTAAGCAAAACAGTATTGGCTAACAAGACAACGATACGCTTCAACTTCACACTAACTGGACCGCCCTACTTAAGTTTGTTCATACAAACCTACGAAGACGACTACGTCACTGTGAGCGACTGGTCATTCTCCAAGAGTTACCTAGAACAAAAGCCAGCTCCTCCACTTGCCTATCACATATACATTACCTATGGTAGAAGTGCCCCACTAGAGTTTTCGCTGGATATTACGGTACGTGCTCTATAATTGAATACTTTATTTTCTAATATTGCCCAACTTCAGAAACCAAATGGAAACTTTAATGTGCCTCTGTTCCAACTGGGCGTCTCGGCACATGATCTTGGAGAAGAAGGAGACGAGCAGAGCATCAAATTTGCCTCAACATTCCCTTCGTATGCTGTAGTAGTCGACTGGCCCTCCCTATATGCACGATATATATTCTAAAGCGATCATAATAAAACAATCTTTACCCTAGGAATTGGCTGAAGTAACAAATTCGATATATAGTTGGTGTATATGTAGACACGGTACAGAGCTGAGAGAGTAATTGCTGCGATAGGAGATTCGTCATGATGACAAAGAGATTAGCTCACTAAACTGGGGCTGGGGTTACCTGCAGCCGTCAGATGATGACTGATTGTGCTGCAACAGACAGATATGAGCGAATCGAAATCGGGTGTTCAGCTTAAATCAGATTATGGACTATACTTTATGGCAGGAGATTATGGCTTATCAGCATGATCTGATGTCGTGCGTACAACCATTCTAAGCGTGCTTCCTTCAATGACGGTTGTAAATTTATTTGGCGAGGGCAGTTCAATAAAATCCGAGCATTTTGGAGCCAACTGCGTATTTTTTTGGGCATGCATAGAAAACAGAAGTTCCGTAATAAAAGCTGACAGTGAAAAATACATTTGAAGTGCTCTAGTCAATTTTATGGAGATGCTTTGAATGATTTGCTCTTCACGTCTTTAGATAAATACAAAACTACCCACGCGTTTCTTGTTATCAAACATATACTGAAACATTGGCGCTATAAAATTATATATTTTGAAAAATATAGACTTGAATTTCCATTCTTTTATGACTTTCTTTCATCGCCTATATAAGATGGTTCGATTTGGTTGCGAGATATTAGTTAAACAACGGAAAGCAATAGATTCACAACGGAAAAAACTGCTTACGAAAATGAGCGATGAGATTAACCTGGTAAGTGAGTCAGTAAGCCAGATGTTCTGTTTTTGCTAACTTTATATAACAAATTCGTAGATTTCGGAAGAGGATGGAGTTGATGTTTCCAAAAAAATAAGGAAAAAGGATGTCAATAAGGATGTAAAGCCCGCCTGGTACTTCGGCACTGGCTTTCTGCTCTTCTGGGCGCTGATGTTTTTCGCAGTGGTTTTGCCACTCTTCTATCGCACCCCCACCGCACTGACCATCGAGGATGATAATACAGGAGAGTTCATTGGAGATCGTGCTTATAACACTCTGAACAATCTGATCAACATAGGACCCAGGACGGTAGGCAGCAAGGCCAATGAAGTGGAGGCTGTGATTTTCCTCATCAATGAGCTAGCAGAGATCAAAAAACTTCTACTACACGACTATTTCACCATGGAAATCGACATTCAGACTGCTTCGGGCGCACTCAGATATACCCATATGCTCAATATGTATCAAGGTGTTCAGAATGTTGTGGTCAAACTGAGCCCCAAGGGGTCAACAAGTGAGTCGTACCTCCTGGTGAACAGCCACTACGATACAGTGGCGAAATCCCCGGGAGCGGGCGACGATGGTTTCATGGTGGCCACCATGTTGGAGGTGCTACGTGTGATGGCCACCACACCCCAAACCTTCGAACATCCTATCATCTTCCTGTTTAATGGAGCTGAGGAAACGGCATTCCAGGCCTCACATGGTTTCATTACCCAGCACAAATGGGCACCCAATTGCAAGTATGATTCAAAAGTGTTTCAATTATGAAGGAAACGTCTATTTATGCAGTGCCTTTTAGGGCTGTGGTCAACTTGGATGCCGCTGGCAGTGGAGGGCGTGACATTCTATTTCAAAGTGGTCCTTTTCATCCCTGGCTCGTCGATGTAAGATTGTAAGCACTACACTCGAGATTAGTTAATAAAATCTTTTTGGTATTTAAGTACTACAAGAAACACGCCAAGCATCCATTTGCCACATCCTTGGGCGAGGAAATATTTCAGTCGGGTGTGATACCATCGGATACAGACTTCACCGCCTTCGTGGAACACGGAAAAATTCCAGGTATGAATTAGTTGCCCGCTTTAAAGCCAGTTTAACAAATTTGTTTGGTGCACAGGCTTGGATATAGCCCAGGTTATCAACGGCTATATATATCACACTAAGTACGATCGCATTGATGTAATTCCACGAAGCTCTATTCAGAGCACGGGCGATAATGTTTTGAGTCTAGTTCGAGCCTTGGCGAATGCAACTGAGTTGCATGATACTCAGGTAAAGCTTCAACTTGACATGAACAACACGTTTATCATCCTCTTCCCCATAATAGGCCCATGAAAAAGGACACGCAGTTTTCTTTGATTTTCTGGGTTTATTTTTCATCAGCTACTCTGAGGACACTGGCATAATATTAAACTTTTGCGCTGCCGTAGTTGGTCTTGTTCTGGTTTTCGTGTCCGTATGGCGCATGTCTTCCACTTCTGCCCTCCCCTTGAATCAAGTGTTGGTGCAACTGCTAGTCCAGCTGATGGTTCAGCTCTTAGCCCTGGTACTAGGCCTGGGCCTGTCTATTCTGGTCGCGCATGTCTTCGATAGTTTCGGGTTGTCTTTGACATACTTCAGCTGTCTGTCCCTGCTTATCGGTCTTTATGTGTGTCCAACACTTATCGGACTGAGTCTTCCAATCACAATTTACTATCAGTCAAGGCGGAATGTGAGTATTCAAATGAAGGCTTTAATTAGGAACCCACTCAAATATTAGCTTTTCCAGAGTAAATTACAATTCAGCTACCGCCTACAATTGACTCTGCATATTTGGGCCATTCTGCTCTGCCTTCTGGGCATAGCAGTAACCGCCTATGGTCTACGCTCCGCCTACATTATCACAATTTTGAATTGCTTCTATGCCGCATCCTTGGCGCTTAACCTATTGACCACGCTTCACGATCGCGCCTACAGTTGGACGGGTCTGGTAATGGTCAGCCAGGTGGCACCATTCTTGTATTGCACCTATCGCATCTATCTCGTGCTTGTGGTGTTGATACCAATGACCGGGCGTTTAGGCAGCGCTCTGAATCCGGATCTTGTTATTGCTGTAGTGACTGCTTTGGGCACTATTTTCGCTTGTGGCTTTCTGGTAAGTAAACACACTCTTTTCAGCATTCCATATATTCATATTGAAAGCAAACGGTATACCCTTTACCTGCTTAGATACCGCTGATCAACATGTTCCGTCGTCCCTATTTGATAATCGTCAGCCTACTAACAGTCACTGTGATCACAGTCATCCTCGCAAGCAGCACTCAAATCGGGTTTCCCTATCGTCCTAGAGCGAGTAGCGAACGTGTATCCTATCAGGTATTTGAAAGATCCTTTAATGAATATTCTTTCAACTAATATTTATTGGCTTCCAGCATGTGCGCAAAGTGTTCTACGAGTACGATGGCACCGTCAGCAAAGATGAGTCTGGCTATTTATTTAGCTTCCAGGACCGACGGGCAGCGGAGCCCATGAAAATTCGCATGACAAATGCGAAAAGCATAAGATCCGACTGCGAAAAGCACATGATGTGCGGCGTGCCTCTATATGATGAGCGTTGGGTCGGCAATCGTCTAGAGAGCATGTGGCTGCCACGTGAACGGCCGATTGAGCTACTGGCTAAGGCAAACTTGACCCTGCTAAGTAAAACAATTCTGGAAAGCAACACAACTGCACGATTCGAGTTCCAGTTAGAGGGCCCTGATCACATGAGTCTGTTCATTCAGACCTACGAAGATGACTTCGTAACGCTGAGCAACTGGTCCTTCGATCGCAGTTACCTAGAGAATCCGCCAGCCTATCCGCTCTCCTATCACATCTACTTCACCTATGGCACGGATCGCTCACCGCTGAACTTCAGCCTGGATATTTCGGTAAGCTCTAGTCACTGAATTATATAAATGTATATGATGGCAATATCCGTCCACAGAAAGCCAATGGGGACTTTGAGGTGCCACTCTTCCAGTTGGGCGTATCGGGTCATTATGTGGAAACTAAGCGAGATGCGCTTAGCGAGGAGTTCGCAGCTTCATTTCCGGCGTATGCAGTACTAGTCGATTGGCCCTCATCATATGACAGATACATATTTTAGTACTGCAAGTGAAGCAAGTGTGGGCTATTAGCTATATCTAATATATATAGACAGCTACGCCTGAGGGCAGCTCAATTCTATAGCACATCACTGCGAGCAGAGAAGAGGCGCTTGGTCAGCCTTTTTTGTGTTTTAAATTCAGTGGATAAAGCGGGCTGCAAAGTACACAATAATAGATAACAAATCCGAATATGTTTAGTTGGCTAGAAGATAAATTTGCCATGCAGTTAATGCAGTTAAATTAGCCACAAGTTGAGAAGGCGCCTGAGGTAAAAGTTTCCCATTACTTAACATGCAAATTAACCAGCTGGTAAACTAGATCAGCTCATCAGGCAATAAAACTAATTACCAAGCTACATATTTAGTCTGAAAGTAAGATATTTAACATTCAGTTAAACCAGCTAGTAAACTAGACCGGCTTGTCAGTGGCAGCTTGACCACATGTTAGCTGCTTGTCAGCTGTAAAAAGATTAATCAAATTTTGCGCACACAAATCAACTATGTCGCCCACTGTGCAACCTGCAATGACAAGGACACAGCGCCTCACATATGTGTATGTGTTGCAACTCACGCAGCTCACATAGCTTTTGACATTTGTTTGACACAGGAGCCGCTTGCCGCCGGCGACGCACTAACTTCCAGGAATTTCACGCCACTCTTCGCTTTATGCTTATCTTCCCAGCCAGGTCTCTCCTGGCGACTCAGCCCGGTTGGTCGTCATAAGAGCGTATGCAAATTTGGAGTGTATCTTCACACGATCTGCTGCTTGTTAACTGCTTACAGATTGAACCGCCGGCACCCGCGGCTTTTGGCCATGTTGAAAATGAATTTTAATTGTTCCTGCTGGCCGCTGCCTAATGGACAATAATTTACAAACAAATTGGACAACAGACGACTGGAATTTATTGCGAAACGAAACTTTTTCAACAAGTAGAAAATCAAAGTGCACTAATTATATGGAAGTTAAGAGGGCCAAGTAGCAGGCAATCCATTATTCGGTTTCCAAACATCGAAAGCGATTCGAATAGCCTCGACTATTCTGCCGCGTATAGTTTGCTTGATTGGTATGATTGTTGTTGTAGTTGTTGTTGCGGTTGCTGTGGTTGCTGTGATTGTTGTGGTCCCTGCTGTATATATTGCCTCTATTACGGTAGCCATTGTTCTCACTTCTACTGCTGTAGTTGTTCCTGCGATAATTGATATAGTTGCTGTTGCTGCTTCTGCTGCTGCTGCTGTTATTGTAGGCGTAACTTGGATCCTCTCTGGGACGTTGGCTAGCACCTTGGTTTGGCCGCCAATTGCTTTGGTGCTGATAACGTTTGTTATCCGACTGATAGTCATCATAGCACCTGTTTTTAGAGGGGGTATCCTCGCTGTGAGCAGCCTGACGCCACCGCGGCATCTCCCTTTGCAAAAGCCTACACTGCGAGCCATCATCTTGGTTGTGATATGCGTTGGTATTTCGCCATTGCTGGCTAGGCGGCTGCAGCTGCTGCTGTTGCTGCTGCTGCTGCCAACTATCCTGTTCCTGTTGACGACTTCGCCAGTTGATAGATCTATCCTCTCGGAGATCTTCCTGCCTGCGTTTGCCCTCGTTATGGCTGGGACTGTGGCTGCCTTCGCTAAGCAGTTTGTGTCGATCTTGTCCGGACTTCAAGTGCTCCAAGGACGCGGTGTAGTTCTCACGCTCAATTTTGTGGCCACGCGCATCGGCAAAAGCTGCGACGAATCGAAATGGATTATTATAGATCATGTTCGGCTCGGCTTGTAGCTTACGCACTCTGTATAGCCAGCTTAGGCGACATGTTCATCTTTGTGATCATAAAATAGCAGATCAGGTAACCGGTACGATTTACGCCGTGTGTGCAATGCACGCCAATAAGTTTGTCTGTAAAATGGATTTGAGAGTTCCGTTTTTGTAGTTACGTAAATGGTTTTATGACAATAATAACAATGACAAGCAATTCATATGTACAACATGTGAGATTCATGCCAAGAAGGGATTGGTAGCTTTTCGTCGTAGAGAAAGCATTTACCTGCCGCAAATTGCTACAGATTTCATTTCAGAGACAGCCACAGGAATGCGCCTCGCATCGCCCACGCTTAAGCATGACAAACCGGCTTTCTGCCACAGCAACTGCAACTGGAACTCTAACTCGAACCAAAGCTCTGACAACGTCTGCCTTGCGCAATTGGCATAAAAGCAGATGCATGTGACTGCATCGGCGACCTGAGCTAAATCTAGAAAACACAGCGCGCTTTGCCAATATGCACAACATTGGCAATAAATTTAATACGAGCAAAAAAGAGAAACATGTCAGGTCGGTGGTCGGTGCAGGGGCAGGGCAGGGGCATCAAAAAAGTCGTTTTGCGGTGGTGCGCTATGCGGGTGCTGCTCTGCCTCCAACTACAGCCGGCAACTACAGCCACTGCCAGTTGTACGTCATGTATTTGGCTGCGTTTACAACAAGAGCGCTACAAACAATATCCTTGTCGCAATGTGGGGCACAATGGAACTTGTGTTTGCCCTGGCCAAGGCGTTCTATATATCTGCACTCTTTCATGTTGTGGCAGTCACAAACAATTCTGGCTGAGTTAGTCATAATAAAGTTACCGTTAAAGTTTAACGATAACTATATGGGATCTTTGACTGTCTACACTCTTTGACTAAAAACTATTATTCAATATTTATAAGAATATTTGGTACTCAATAATTTCAAATTCAAGCATAACTAAATTGGCATTTAAATATTTTTATCAATTTGTTTAACCTAACAACCAGTATTTGTCTTATAAATATACTGGGTACTAAGTAACAACTAAATATATTCGCAGTGCTTTGTCCCACTGTCCGCAAAATGACCACGGTTTCTTTAACAGGTCCATTAACAAGTTCCGACCACCTCGAATTTAGCTACATGTAAGCTATTATTCCTGAGCGCATTTTATTTTCGATTGCCAGTTTTCACATGCAGCGCGGCCAGTGGGATATTTATTATAGGGAATTTATTTTAGTGCTAACTAGCAGCATATGTAATCTGTTAACATAAAGCAAACTTCCTATATTTACGCTGGCTGGCAACTCTAAGTATTCGCAGTGGCAAAGGAGGTATGACCTGTTTGCTATGATATACTCCCAATCGTCGCTGCGACCCGCAACTTTCATGCCTAACGTTCTCTTGGCTTAAGTGAATTGTTTGCCTGGCACTTTGAGCTTACAGCTGAGTCTGGGAACTAACTCTAACAGTTGTAGTGGGCGCGTCCAACCCACTTGTATCCGCCAGCTATACATCCAATTCTTTTTTGTCACTCACATACAGGGAATGTTTATTGTGCGCTTGCCAGCTGATAGGCATCTGCCGCCACAAGGTATTTGCATGGTACACATGGACGGCAACTGGCTTTTGATATAATTTCTTTGCATATTTCAAGCTCTAATTATGTGACAGATATGTATCTGCATAGCTGAGATGCTGGGGGAAAGCGTTCCCACGGCCTAAATGGCGGCGACCTGTTGGTGGGTGAACAATTTGGATACTTACCATTATCCGGATTTGCATCCAGAAAGTTTGTGACATACTCGCAAAATCTAAAGAAAGAATCAATTAGAAAAACTAATTAGACTACTTGTTGAGCTGTCATACCTTTGTGATAGCTCCTTGGTAGGCGTATGATGGCCAGGTATCATGAGTTTCTGATGCGCCACATTTAGATCCATGAAGGTCTGCAAGAGTGATGCTCTATATGAGCTGAGGATGTTGTAGTAGACAATATATATACTTGCCTTTGGATTGTAGTAGCGATTTGTATTGGTCAAGTCAACAATCAAACCTAAATTTGGCACCGACTCCAGCAGCGAATGTGGCGCCAGACGCAGTTGCTCGTCGTCGACACTCTCATTAATATTCTGCGGAAAATACGACAGAGCAAATATGAGACATACAAAACATGCAGAAATTGCTCAATTTATGCGCTGCCCGTCGGCAGTACAATTAATAAGGAAGAGCAAGGAGCAAGGATCAGCGCTTGTACGGTGTTATTTAATTAAGGAAAAAACAATTTAATTTAATATTCATGCTGCTTGCGTGGGGTCCAGCTGCCGCTGCTATTGCTGTTCCTTGCGCTGCTGCTGCTGTGTGGAACAGCTTGTAGCAGTTGCCACTTTTATGCATAATTGCACTGCACACAAAATGCAGTTCCCTTCTGTTATTTATTTATAGAGCAGGCCCTTCTGAGCCGGTGGTCCGCATTTCAACATCAATCAAACTGCAGCGACCGCAACTGTTAACCGGTTTATGAGGTCAGCTACACTCACCTTACGCAACGGCACTTTGAATGCAATGAAACGCGTCCCAGCAATTCGTTCGCCAATGGGACGATAATTAAGCCAGCTGCAAAAAAACCAAAACAATGCCATTATTAAAATGTACACAAGAATTACACTCAAATCATAAACACATACCGATCTGGTATTGCTTTAACCATTTTTGCAATCACTACTGTCTAATATATAATGTCTAATATAATGGGTTCCGAAAAGAAATACAAGTTTACTAAAAATTTTACCGCGTGTTATATACAAAATAGATTTGTATACGCATTACATCTATATTCCAAGCAGATGTTTTGGCGTTGCCACTGCGAACAACTTTTGTGCCGCCAACACTGTTAACAGTTAACAGCAGCAAAATATACTAAATAATGCCACACGCAAACAGATGGCAATGCGACTTTTGGACTTTCTGCGTCTAATACTGTGGCAGGTACATTTCAAGTCAATTAACATTAATTGTTTATAATTAAACTATATATTTTTCACAGTTTAATTTTGTATAAAAAACCAACATGTTTGCTAACAACACCCGCAATATCGTACGCGGCAGCTTCGTAAGTATTAAATGAGAAACAGCAAAAAAAAAATGGCGCACGATCACTTATTAATTTTATTACTCATTAAATAATCAATTGGACATATAAAGTTGCAGCGTTGCAAGAGCACCTTGGTCGTGGCGGAGCACAACAATGAGACACTAAACCCACTCACGCTGAACACCATCACGGCGGCCAAGAAGATCGGTGGTGACGTCACAGTTCTGGTAGCAGGCACAAAATGTGGACCCGTAAGCTGTTGGGATTGTTGTTGTTAATGGTTTGCATAATCGTCTGATTTTGAAATTGATTTCAGGCCTCTGAAGCTGTGGCCAAGGTCGAGGGCGTTACTAAAGTTTTGGTTGCTGAGAATGCCGCATTCAAGGGCTTCACTCCAGAATCCCTGACTCCCTTAGTCCTGGCTGCTCAATCACAATTTAAGTTTACGCACATTTTGGCCGGCGCCTCAGCCTTTGGCAAGAATGTGCTGCCACGTATTGCCGCCAAGTTGGACGTGTCGCCTATTTCTGAGATTATCGATGTCAAGTCGGAGGATACTTTTGTGCGCACCATCTATGCGGGCAATGCCATACTCACGCTTAAGTCAAAGGATGCAGTGAAGGTTATCACAGTGCGTGGCACGAATTTCCCTCCAGCTGCCACTAGCGGAGGAAACGGTGCTGTGGAACAGGCACCAGCTGGCGACTATGCCAGCAGTCTGTCCGAATTCGTTTCGCAGGAACTGACCAAGTCAGATCGCCCTGAACTAACGGGCGCCAAGGTCATCATCTCTGGAGGCCGTGGACTCAAGTCTGGTGACAACTTCAAACTGCTTTACGATCTGGCTGACAAGTTTGGCGCTGCTGTTGGCGCCTCTCGTGCCGCTGTCGATGCTGGCTATGTGCCCAACGATCTGCAGATTGGACAGACTGGCAAAATTGTGGCCCCTGAGTTATACGTCGCTGTGGGCATCTCTGGTGCCATTCAACATTTGGCTGGCATGAAGGATTCGAAGACGATTGTAGCGATCAACAAAGATCCCGAGGCTCCTATTTTCCAGGTGGCCGACATTGGTCTCGTAGCGGATCTGTTCAAGGCTGTGCCCGAGCTAACTGGCAAATTGTAGAAAAGTGCCTAATAGTTTATAAAGCTAATTGATTCTATCAAATGTACTATTTGATGTGTTGCATTTATTTGAAACTAGTTTCTTATCAACTGCCCGCTGTTCACCGGCTGTGCGTTGTCATAATTGTTTGCCTTTGCCTTTGTTGTTGTCTAATAAAAACTCAGCCGAACGTCTGACTATATATATATATATACTATATTTTGGTTAGTAGCTGCGTATGCGGTAAGGAAATAAAATCTCTTATCGTTTTACGGAATTGTGCAACTGTTTGTGTCTACCCAAAAACAAACAATCTTCGTTTTCTTATGCATATAGATCCTCATGTTGTGATAACCCGGAGAAATGTTCATGTGTTGCTATGTTAATGAGCCAGCAGTAGGAATTAATATTGCTCACTGTTAGCTAAGCTGTAATGTAATCAATCGGGCAATGCTCATATATTTTTATCACTTTTCTAAATTAACATCATGCTGGACTGTTAAATTGGGATTAACAGATACAGTCAAAGAAAAGCAGTGAAGCGGTAAATCAATGTTAAAATTGTTTTTTAAAGCATTATTTTGTGCTAATTGCTAGAAATTTGCAGCGACACATTAACTGAGGCGGTTGAGGCTGAGGGGGAAAAAATATTGTTAATTGAAGCAGATCTATTCATCATTGTTTTTTCTTTAATTATTTATAGTGTTTATTAGAGATAGTGGTCAAAATATGATATAATAAATAAAACTTATCTTTGTGACTTATCTTGTGATCTTTATATAAGTCAAAATAGCCACTATCTACTGTACACATAAGACTACCATTATAATCTAAGCCTTTGTTGTGCCTAAGTATTTACCTTATGTTAGTAAGTTTTGATTTCCGTCAATAAATATCTGATGTTTAATTAGTGCTCAATTTTATTTTGAGTTTTCTCAACTTTACATGCATATAGTAAACAGATGTAATAGATTGGTCTTTTAATCAACTTAAGTGTGCTAATAAACTGAAGTGACACAGTCTTTGTGTATGCGAGTGAAATATATATTGTTCCATATACATATATAAATACCTATATTTGTTGTTTAATCATTATAAATAGAGAACATCATGTTGCAAAAAGAAAAAATTGTGAAACTGCGATCACGAGTGAAAGGAAAAGATTAAAATGCCTTTGCCAGAAGCCGAGCCTAGCCTAGCCGGCTTATCGAACGGCAAAGGGCACACAAATAGAAACGCAACATTGCCTACTGCATACTTTGTCATCTGCCAGCACTTTCATTCACGCCGACGCTGACGTCGACGCCAACGCCAACGCAAACGCAGCCGCCGTTGTTAACGCCACTGTTATGTGACTTACAGAAAATCAAATTCAGTTCGACTCGACTGTTTAATACTCTATTTCTGTGAGCTGTATGAAATTGTGAGAAATAGAAAATCTGAAATGAAAAAAATATCTATAATAAATAAAAATAAGAAAAGTTTAAAGAAATATAGATACTAATAATTAAATCAAGCAGACAGAAGTAAGATTTTTAGGGGTAATGCTAACTAAAAAATTAACTATTAAGCTGCTCAAAAACTTCACAAATAATACAAACTCTATACCTTAAATCAAGAGGAACCTACAATGAAATGGATTTCTTCCAATATTTCCTGTTTAGGCATATAGTAAAAAAATCAATAAAAATATGTGTGAACTAATTCTTTTAAACTCTTTTAAAATTCTTTTTTATATAGAAAATATGCTCAAATTTAAATATATGTTTTCTTTCTACTAAAGACATTTCCTAAGCACTGGCAGTTGTGACGGTTAGAACTTTAAGAGTTAATTTAATTGCATCCAACTTAACCCACATATACTACGTGCGTGTCAAACTGTATATCTCAGCTAGGTAGACCTACACAAAGAGCATTCGATCCGAACTGTGAACGTTGAAACACATGTTGTTAACGCTGACCGCTTGAGCTAGTAGTAGTAGTCACTTATCACTCAGCGAGCTGGAGAGACGCATCGACGAGGCTCTCGAAAATACGTGCAACGATTTGTAGTGAAGAGCAACAAAAATAAGTAATATATAACGTATAAAAATGAACAAGACGCCTATGCACGAGCTGCGTCGCGTGTGCGTTATTGGAGGTAAACGAAAGCTATGAAAACTATATTTAAAGCCATTCGAATATATTGTGGAATCTGTGTGGATTTATTTAGCTGGCACCGCAGGCTTAAGCGCCTTGAAGAACTCACTGGAAGCGGGTCTGGAGGCGGTGGCGTATGAGCGGGGCACAGAGATCGGGGGCACATGGATATTCTCGGAAGAGCTGCCAAAGGATGAGCACGAAGAGGTGCACAGCAGCATGTACGAGGGCTTGCGGTAGGTTATCAAGAAACTTGAAAGCCAATCAGATCATTTTCGATCGTCCACAACTGATTTGTAGCACAAATTTGCCCAAGGAAGTCATGGGTTATCCGGACTATCCGTATCCCACAGAGATTGAAGACTCATTCATTACATCGCAGCAGGTATTGGAGTTTCTGCGCTCCTACGCCGATCATTTCAACCTACGACCGCACATCAAGCTGCAACACGAGGTCATCAGGGTGCGGCCCAGATTGAACGATTGGGAGGTGAGTGCTGACGACATTAATCATTTCATCACTCTCATTCGCACATATTATACAATGCTGATTGTCTCTTTGACACATCTGAAGGTCTATGTTTGGGATCACAACAACAACACTTGCGATCCGGTCTACTACGACTTCATTTACGTCTGCAATGGCCACTACACGGAACCGGACATGCCCAAAATTGAGGGCATGGATCTGTTCGAGGGTCAGCAAATGCACAGTCATGTCTATCGCAAGGCGGAGAAATTTAAGGGTGAGCAGAACATACTCCATATAGACGCAATTTAGATAAGATTGTTCCAGTTTCTATACGAGCATGAATTGTCAGTCCCGTCAACTTTTAGCCTAGTTACAGTTAGTCTTTGGGATTCGTATACTATATAAAAAGTGAGCGCTTATCAAGCACTCAGCATGTTTGGCTGATGGCTTTTTAATCATAGAATAGTTTTTATAAAGCCCCATGGAAATTCACTAACTGATAAATGGGAAGCGCTCCAGCAAAGCTTTTCCACTGATTTATGATGCAGATTCTAAAATATAATTATTATGGGGATTACTTAAACTATTTTGATAAGGGCATAACAACACGAAATATTTATCTTGGGAATGATGTTCCTTCTCCTTTGACAAATGCTTATAAATTCACAGGAAACTTTAGTGGGATAAACAAATTGATTTAAATCCTTAATGCAAATGAACTTCACCTTTGCAGATCAGAGAGTGCTGATTATTGGTGCCGGTCCTAGTGGCATGGATATTACAAATCACATTCGCAAGGAGGCTAGGCACGTATACTTGAGCCATCATCTCCCGACCACGCCCAACACCGCCTTTATGGGCAATGTGACGCAAAAGCCGGACGTTGAGCGGTTTACCAAAAATGGCGCCATATTTAAGGATGGCAGTGAGGAGAGCTTCGACTACGTGGTCCATTGCACCGGCTATCAATACAGTTTTCCGTGCCTCAGCACCGATGTGGGCGTGCAGGTGATCGATAACTTTGTGCAGCCACTGTGGAAGCACTGCGTCAACATTAACCATCCGACAATGTCGTTCATTGGACTGCCTTTCAATGTGATACCCACGCACATATTCGATATGCAGGTGCGCTTCACACTTAAGTTCTACACTGGACAACGCCAGCTACCCACCAAGGAGCAGATGATCGCCGACCTGGAGAAGGAGCAGGGCGAGCGCTGGGAGTGCGGCTTTGTCAACCGTAAAAAGGCACATCAAATGGGTGAACGACAGGTGGGAATCACTTAACATGACTTATATGAAATGTATTCACCTCTCATATCTCCAACAGTTCGATTACTACAATGAGCTAGCCAATATGACGGGCATTGAGAATATAAAACCTGTTATTTTAAAGCTAATGAAGGATTGCGGAAAGAAATATATATTTGAACTGGATACGTATCGCAATAATCGTTACACGGTTATAGACGATGAGAATTTCACCAAGCGCGCTATATGATGAACATGTATTGTATGTCTGTAATGTAGTTTATTTTGCATTTAACTATAAAATAATAAATAAATACATAAATATAAAAATTAAAAAAGCGTTTCAAATGCCATATCACACAGCTTTCTGTTGCTTCATTTTTTTTAACTGAGTGGCAGCACTGTTGCTGTTAATTACTCAAAAGGAACTCGAAACTAAATTCAACTGGTAGGTCATTCTGTTAAATGGAAAATTTAAGTTTTAAACACATTTTGTTTCCGTTATGTACATATATTTGTAATAATTTATTCATTCAATTAATTTTTTTTTTTGCCTGCACTATGTGCCACTACACTTCATTGTCCATTATTATTATTATATATATATAAGTCAGCACGCACACATTTATAAAATAAGCTAATATTTGATAGGGGCTACTACTATTTTCACTACGCTTTTATACTTATGCCTAATACACTACTTTTTTGTTGATTTAGCACTGTTGTTGTTGCTGTTCATATTGCACACTTTCTCTTCTTCTTTACTGCTGTTAATATTGTTGTTGTTACTGCTGTTGCTGTTGCTGTTGCTGTTACTGTTACTATTACTGTTGCTGTTGCTGTTACTGTTACTATTGCTATTGCTATTGTTGTTGTGTGCATCGACTGCCTCAACTTCGCGCAGCGTAATCTTCTGAAAATCACAATCGATTATTCTCTTGCGCTTGCGCAACGGCCTAGTACTTTCCGCTGCTGCAGCGCAGCTGCTGCTACTACCCACTGTGGGCGACGTGGGGCTGTCGTCCCTGGTATCTTTGGTTTGTATGAGTGTGCGTTTGGTTTGCAGTCGTGTTATCTTCAACTTGGGCAGCTTCTGTGTCTCAGCCTCAGCTGAGCTGTTGGCATTGTTACCACGCGCCTCTGACTCCACATTATGCAGAACGATGCAGTGCGTCGTCTCGCTCAACGTGTCCGGCGAGGAGTCTGTGACGGGCGATGTTGCAGGTGATGGTGTTGTTCTAGCTGGTGTTGTCTTTGGTATAGATTTCTGTTCTTCCTCCTGCTCCTCATTTTGCTGATCCAGCTCCAGTTCCAGCTGCGGTTCCATCTGCTGCTCCTCTATTTCCAGCTCCGGCTTGGCCTTGCTGCAGTCCAGAGGCTGTGGCTGCTCCTCTGCTGCAGTTGCCGCCGCACGCTCTTCATCGTAACGCTTGCGCTGCTCCGGAGTCAAATGCGCCTTGTAGAAGTCCACGACGGGCAATGGCACGGGTATGGGTATGGGGAGCGGTATTATAATGGGATACGGCACCATCACAGTGACTGGCGGAGCAGCACCTAGCAGAGCGCCCAGCGCTCCATGCAGCTCCGGTTGCAGCTGTGGGTGCAGCTGCGGCGGCGGCCCGAAGTGTGAGCCAAAGCCACGCGGCAACATGCCCGGCGGTGGAGCGAGGAAGGGATGCGGCGGCGGAGCTGCAGGCCGTGCTCCAAATGGATGACCCAGCACGCCATTTGGTGGTGTGGCAAAGTAGCCCGCTGGTATGCCAGTGGCAGGCCGACAGGGCATGGCCGGTGGCAGCGGCTGTGGATGCTGTTGCTGCTGTGGCTGCTGCTGTTGCTGATGTTGATGTTGCTGCTGAGGCTGCGGTGGCTGTTGCTCCTGCATGGGCGACAGCGGAGGCAACGGCACACTGGAGCCGGCGAAATCAGCGCTGAGCGTAGGCGGCTGGTGATGTTGCTGCTGTTGTTGTTGTTGTTGTTGTTGTTGCTGTTGCTGTTGTTGCTGTTGCTGTTGCTTCTGCAGCAAGCTGGCAACTGTCTCTGAGCCAGCGCCAACTATACGATGCGCACGCTTGCGTCGGCCCGGCTTGGATGCGGAGTGAAGAGCGTGGTGCCGCTGCAGCTGAGCGGCTGGCGGTTGCGGTGCGCCAGTCATGGCGGTTGTCTTCTGAGCCAACAGCTTGGACACGGGCGCCACTGAGATCAAAGGTTTGCTTGGATGAGTGGGTGGCGAGTGGCAGGGCGAGCTCCGCTTGGAGGTATTCGCAATGCAAACAGCCGCCGGCCCTGGTGACACCGAAATTGTGGACGCAGGCGAGGCCGACCGACTGCGGCAGTTGCGGAGCCACAGATCGGGCGTTATGAGCCCCGCCCCATCGCCAGAGGCTGCTGCCTCCAGGCCCTGATCCCGCAGATGAGGATTCATGTCGAGATGCGCCTGCGTCTCATTGCAGAAGATCTGCATCTTGTACTGATTGAGACACTTCTCCGAGCAGAACTGCAGCTGCGATGCGCCATCCTGGAAGTCCACATAGCTCACGGCGTGTCGCACATGCTTGCACCAGTCGCACGTCTTGGCCTTCTTGAAGGATGCCCGACGGCTCTGAGTGAAGCAGGACTCGGAGCAGTAGCGTGGTCCATCCGAGCTCGTTAGATAATCCGGCGCATTCTCAGCGATCGGGCGATGGCACCAGCAACAGTTGTTAAAGTCTGCAAAATAATTGGAAAGGCGGAGAGAGCAGAATAATTTGATTAATGAGCAAAATATTGACTTTACCATTGAGCATTGGTATAAAGCTCTACTTATAATATTTGATAGACTAACAGGAAAGGTCCACAGCAACAGAAGCCAACACCAAAATTTGCTGAACACAAAAGAAATAAGGAATTTATAAGGAAATCTACAGTTTTCTATCCTTAGCCTGCACCTCGCTCCAAACTGCAACTACAAACCATTGAATACTTTATTTGGATATTTGTAAACCATCTCCGGGTCTTAATGAATCTGTTGTTCGATAATGCAGCCGCAGCGGCCAAATAAAAACTCTGCCAAAACCAGTTGATGCCAAAGTTAGCAAAGTTTCAAGCCTGTCTGAGCGTAAAATTCGCATAATGATTGACTTTCTGAGTAGTAAGGGAAAAAGGGTATGAAGAGGAGAGAAGAGGAACTTTTCCTGCCAAGCACAAGTCGAACTTATCAGGTTGCAAGGAATATTGATAACAGCAGCAGCAGCAGCAGCAAAAGCACCAAACAATGTTGAGGTAAACGAATTTACGATTTTAATTTTTCCACTGCCCAAAGCAAGCAAAATAGTTGTTGATATATCCAGTATACTTAGAAGTAGAAGCAGTACCGAAGGCTAAGCGGATTATGTGTGTGATATGCTCACGAGCAGACAAAACGACTGAAAGAGTCCTTAAACTGAGTTTGTTATGATTTTCGAATGATGATTTTCCTATCACAAAGATAAAAGGATTTTGTGCCAAGCACTGAACCTGCTCAGTTTGTTAAATGCTAAGATTGATTGGATACGTTAACTGCAAATTTGATATCAATGAAGGCACATTTTTAAGCTGGACTCTTGAAATTCAAAATATAGATATACTTAGGTCTGTCAAATCAAGTAAAGCAACTATTGAGGAGCTCAACTTGATTTACCAAAATAATGTTTAATATGATGTCCCTCTGTGAGATCTAGAACTTTGATTTCTATATGCAGGCAGAGCTCAGATAATCCCATTTCTATGAAATCAATATGGAGCCTCAATTAAGGGGCTCTTTATATGTGACATTAATAAATATTTGATGTTCCTAGAGTGTGCAGTAATATCGAGTAATCCAGACTTTATACAGCTGTCTAGCGCTCAGATGATGTTGCTTTCAAGGCATTTCCAGGATCGAAAACTTAAAAAGCAATTAAAACGCAGTCAGTTTAGTTGAGTCTATGCCTTCGCCAAAGTAAACGCAAACAGCATCAGTCAGCCATGCCTAATTTTGATAAATTACTATATATATAGGACTCCTTTAAAGAAACTACTTTTCCTTTCTTGAATTTTCCAGCTACGCTTACCTATTTTCTCCTCAGTATGCGATGTCGTCAGAGATGCTGCCGACGGCTTGCCAATTGAATGTGGACTCTTGGAGTCATCCTCACGCGAGCTGCGGGTGTCGTGGTCCGAAGGAGTTGTCGTGTTGCTGTGACAATTCAAGTTGCTCGCCTTGCGGCTGTTGCAGTTGTTGTTGCTATTGCTGTTGTTGTTGTTGTTGTTGAGAAAAGCTGCTGCCAGTGCGCTTCTGCGACTGCTGCGTAGATGGCTACTTTGCTGTTGTTGCTGATGCTGCTGCTGCTGCTGCTGTTGCTGATGCTGCTGCTGCTGCGTGGCCACTGCTGCTGCTGCAGCGCTTTGCAGCAGACGCGACGTCTTGGCCGTTAAGTCCAGCCGATCCACGTCGACGCCATCGAAGCCATACCAGCCAAGCAGCTCGTTCATCGTATGCTGCGCGAATTCCTGGAACGAAACAGAACCAGAGACAAGAAAAGATTTACATATTGTGTGGCATGCCCATGGTATATAGTGACGCAGTTCAGCCGAATGCTGACACAGTTTCAGTACTTCAATGGTTAGTTGCCAAAGCGTTAATCGCACTTTCTGGCCAGCTTCAGAGCTGGTTGAGAGCGTGCCAAGCAGAGCCGTCGTCCCTGCTGGCAATTCAATACGATAGATACCCTTTTTTCACGAGACAGAGGGAGACCCAACGACGCAGGTGCAGCTCACTGAGCCGTATAATTGTGGCTACTTGGCAACCACAACTTGTTGCAAGTGCGGTGGCAGCTAGTTGGGGGTTTCCTTTCTGATATTGACTGATAAAATACTTTGAAATGGAAAATATAGGCGAGCATAGTCGAAGCTGGCTTAAATAGATCTGCGCAGCTGAAGCTTTGAGTATATAGTCAGCCTCAATTGAGGCTTTAATAAATCAGAAAAGTTAGCCAAGTAACGAACAGATACCGTTTTTACCTTTAAAAATGATTTACGCCAAAAACTAATCGCTTCGTTCATGATATTCATAAACACTTTCATTTATCTAATCATACTTAAATAAATCTTTAAGCGATTACGAATCACAAAAGACAGTTAATTCCAGTTAACTTATTAAGGAATCGAGTCATATGAAGCGCAGCGACCCAAATGCTAAACAACTAGAATTGAGTATCAAATAGTAAAACTAGAGGCTTAAATTTTGAATATGGAATAGATAAATTTGAAAAATAGAGTGTTGTGTACTTGCATAATTTAAAAAAAATATTTGCCAAACAGTTGTAGAAGTAGAACCAAAAACTTTTGCAAATGGTTCACTGTTTTATCATTTTTATATAATATATAAAAGCATTAAATTCCGACTAAGTTTGAATATATATCTTATAATGATGCTTATTATAAAGAGTTGTGTGTATTCCAGATCACATGCTACAAATATTGTAAAATTGTGGAGATGAGAAGAGAATCAATGAAATAGCTCTCCATGCATGCAACTCCTCTTTCGGCTTCATTTAAGCAATAAAAATCCCTAAAAATTATTCCATTTTATCAGAGCATTCGGTACAAAAAAAGCAGTTAAAAATATTAAACTTAATATTAAATTTAAGATAAAGTTTTAATTCAGCTTTGATTTACTAGACACTTCTTAAAGTGTGCTTTAAATAAGTTTTTATCAATGAGCTGCGGCTAGCATTAAGCCCCATTTGAAATTAATAACTTTGATGAAACTTGCAGCACACACAGACCCCCACCCCCCACACACACACAGGTACACACTTTACTGGCACACACATAAGGATATCAACTAACACACACGCACCCACAAAACAAAAGTTTATAATGGAAGCCAAGAGGACGGGGCAGGGGCAGGGGCAGGGGCAAGGGTAGGGGCAGGGGCCAGGTGGGTTGGGGTGATTGTGAGAAAGTGCAGGTAAGTTAGAGGAAAGGAGACCATGTATAATCTATTTCGTTGTTGTTGTTGTTGTTGCTGCTCGTTTTGCAATGGGATCAGGCTTTCAGCAGCTGCAGTTCCCCCACTCAGATGCTGGGCATGACATTGATATGCAATGGGCCAATGAATGTGTGTGTGCGTATGTGTGTGTATACACAATTTCTGTCTTTTTGCATATAATACTCTTTTAAAATTGAACAAGAACTCTGTGTGTGCGTTCCTGATCGAATTGGAAAGCCAGTTCAAAGGCGCAAGGAGCTTGGCTGCGGCTTTAAAAGTTTGTTTCGGGTTTTTCGTTTCTTGTTTCTGAAATGAAACAAACCAAAATGATATATGTATGCTCATACAAGTACATATGCATATGTGCCTGCAGTCTCTGTCTGGATACAGAAACATTTCACACAAGGCTACGCAACTGCATTAAGACGTATCAAATTACATTGAAATTCTCATATTCAAAGTCGTCAATGTTGTTGCTGTCGTTGTTGTTGCTGTCGTTATTGTTGCTGTCGTTGTTGTTGTTTCAGTCAAAAGCAAAACGTCAAAATAAGAACAGAGGCATAGCTCCAAGGGGGCTCTTGCCTTTGAGTGCCGGAGCTGGGCTAGAGTTAGCCAAGATTTTGTTGAAGAAAATCAGATGAAAATGTTTAATTGAATTTAATTGCGGCTTTTTTGTTTTCATTGTAAACTACAATTATAACAAGCGACAATATTGATAAAGATATGGTATTTCATTTTGCCACGCCCCCACTAGGCATGTAACGTAACTTAGAAACTAAGACACGCCCCCGAAGTGGCATCGTTAGAGGATGCATCGATAGAGAATGTCAACAGTCTCTCAGCTATTGAGTTTTGAAGTTTCTAGCTTTGTTTGATATGCCATGCTAAGGGTAATCTATATCTATATCTCTAGTATCCATTCCAAATAGTCAACATATAACAGAATCAGATCCAGTTTCTGAGGATTTATTAGTAAGCGTGCATATATAATATATAATTTGTCGATCTGCAAGGGTCTTAACAGTAAATCACGTGCCAAATTTTGAAGTTCTAACTCTATTATTGTCCAAAATGCAGTTAGCCACGCCCAATGGGCGTATATTTAACGACTATATGTTTTTGTTCTTGGTTTTTGAACGCGAGTATGCTATTATTAATAGCGTTTCCAACATATCAGATATAGTATTTTTCAATTTGCCACGGCTCTAGTGGGCGTATTGGAAAAATCTAAAAACTTAGATTTGCAACGAGTATTTATTCCAAATTCAAGTCTCAAATTCCAATCACCGGCTTCAAAAGTCACGAGATAAGCGAGCGCAGAACAAGACTGAAATTATATGAAACCAATATATCTATATACTATATTTTATAGTATATATACTATACTTTATATATATACTATACTTTATAGTATAAAATTAATAAATAAATTAATTTTAAGCGCACACTAAACAAATGTGTAGTTTAACCGATTTTAAAGTACAATTTATTTAATTGTTATTCATATTAAAATTTATTTATTTATATATTTATAGTTGAATTTTGTATAAATAAATTTTTCACATACATCAAATTGACATGCCTATAAAATTCTGTGCAAAGCTTTGTTACTACTCAGCTTGAAGAGACAAATGAAGAAATAAAATGAAAGATTTCAAGAATTTTATTGTCTTCAGCAAACAGAGACTCAACCACTCAACCACTCAGAAATTATTTGGCAATCAACGAATTTGACATTTTAATAGGTGCAAATAAAACAGAAATAAATGTCAGCTAAACTATGCGATGCGCCGACACTGAAATCAGTAGTCAACAACGCTGATAATTAGCCATGAAAATGCGATCAAGACAGCGAATTTTGTTGTCTGCAAATTATATGAATGTTTTTTAATTATTTCATTTATATTTACACAAGTAAAAGAAAACTTTCCTTGAATGGCCCGCAATGTCACATGACTTCACAGTGGTATTCTGGGCATATAATGCAGAGTATATATATATCGGTATAACTGAAGTATTTTGAAAATTGTCAAGCGAGGCAAGTGGTAATTTGAAACCCCGTTACGAACTACGCCACTGCATTTGAGAGCAAAGCGAGAACATTTTTGGTGCTTCTGAGGAATGCTAAATTACTCATACGACATGTGGCCAGTGCTGACACAAGCGCTGACAGCTTGAATGCGACAAGAACAACATGCAACATATGGGCGTGGCAGCCGACAGACATTTGTATTTTTGTACTTTTTTTTGGCAAATCTTGCGCAAATCATTCATTGGGTAAATTATTAATGGCAAATCGCATGAATCACTTCGAGGTGTGAAATCTATGCCAATGTCTTTTGGCGGCTAACTTCGTTCACTAACTGCTGCTCAACAGCAACAGCAGCTTGGCACTTGTCATGCGACACCGAGACGCTGGCCACTCGACGAGGCCCACTGTGCCCGCTGCACAGTGGTCACCAGCTCACGCAAAAAGATGTCCAATCAGCGACGGCTGCACGTCTCTGCCAACGCTTTGCAGCGGCGCTCACACGCTCGCTTGACTCAGCCGGCAGCTCTGAGCCACGTTTTGACGGGTTTGTTGTTGTTGCTGTCGCTGTTGCTGTCTGTAGAGTATTAACAATTCGCACGATACAAATCTTGTGACTGAGCTGCAAGGCGTATCGATTACACGCCTCAGGTGCGACCTCGTCGCTCTGTGCGTGTGGAGCGGGGGCTGGGCAGGAGCTGGTAGAAGGCGGGAGGTAGGGGGTCAGGTAGGTTGGGAGACGCACGCCCGGCTCAAGTTCAGCTGAGTCTCAGTCTCAGTCGCAGTCGCAGTCACAGCCACTCGCAGAGCCAAGTCCAACTGTGCGGTAATTGGAGGCGCATTGCTGTTAGCTCTTAGCATATTATTTCCACCTTTTGATACCTCTCTCTGTCTCTCTCTCTTACTCTCTCACTCTCTCTCTCTCTCTGTACCTCTCTGTTATCTTTTTCTGTGGGTTTTTAATATCATTTGTCTGTTAATTTATGTTTGGTTTTTAATTTCTGATTTGTGCGTTCGCCTGGACACAGTTGGCTGAGGGGCGTGGCAGGGGCGGGCGGACTACGGGCAGCCTCTAGCAGCAACGACGACATTTAAACTTGCGCTCAGTGCAAGCTGTGAAATTCTAAACCGAAATGCGAATAAAAATCAATTAATTAAAAAATGAAATTGTATGCCCTTTATTATTGTTGCTGTTGTTGTTGTTGTTGTTGTCATGGAGCTTTATCTGTCTGTTTGCTGTTCACTTGCCTCCCGCCATATTTCCTCAGCATATTTTATAGCCCTACATATTCCCCTTTTTCTTGAATTCTCATAATTAATGCTGAAAGAATCAGACAGATACAGTTGGCAATTGCTCCCTCTCCTCTCTCCCTCTTTATCTCTCTGCCTCTCGCTCTTCCCCTGTCAATGTCTCGCTGTCTGTTGAATTTCGCAAAATCTCAACTTACAAAAACATATCAAATTTTCGTTTTTATTATGAATCGCGAA